CCCCCCCCCCCCCCCCCCCTCCCCCCAAACTCCCTACCCTTTCGGTGTACTGTTTGATGCTGTTGCGTTTATCGGATAGAAACATCACAGAGGTTTGTAAATGCCCCACGCCAGGCGCGTTCCATGACGGAGCTTCGCGATCGTACTCCTTTTTGAGGAGGTTTTGACCGGGGGTAGGAAGCTGACAACGGAAAAAGGAGGAAACTTGTTTACGGTGGAACACTCGCGACATGCGATGAAGAATCTCAAGGACTTCAGAATGTGGATGCGAGTCCTGTTGAGGTCTTTCACGTCGACGCCAAGTCGGTTGTACATGGGGGTCCAACAGGGGGAACTTTTTTCTCTTTTCCTTACCTGCTTGCACCAATCCAGCGCCATGTTTTCGCATTCGATTATGTGCTACTTCGAACTCTATTTATTCTACAGCTTCTTCGAACGCGGCAACCGGTCCAGGCAAAAAAAACTGATGGCCAGACATCGGTGGATGCAACGCAGCTGGCGTCTCCCTTCCCACTACACACGAGCTGATTCCCATTCCATCTCGCTCCCGTCGTATCTACATCTTCGCTGTGTTTCCTAAGACGTCTCGCCACAAAAAACTGCAAAACCCCTTCACGGCCATCAGAATTTCTGTCCGTGCGCGAATGCAAAAGGTAGAGAGCACAACGAACCACCCGGAGCAACAAACCAAAATACTACCACGCAGCCTCTTCGCGACCTGCATGTTCACCTCCAAATAAGTCTGAACGCTACGAAGCATAACGAGGTGGCACCGCTTCGAGCTTCATGCCATGGAACCCGCAGGAACACGACGGGCCACGCTCCGGAGCCCCCGCGCGCGGCATGCTCACAACAAAGCGCAGCAGACAAAAAAAATCCGATCAACGTCTTCCTACTTCGGTAGGGGCGCATGCAACAACGGTGTTTTCAACATCCTACTACCAACATCCACCGAGCAAATATTTCCTCTTTCTACCCCCCCCCACACCGGTGCAAGTAAATGCCCAGCACTCTGTAGGTGCATTGATGCTGCTCCTCCATTTTTCTCCGAAAATGGAATAATTTTCTTGGCAAACGGTATTTGTCGCCCGTAACAACTCACATTCACTACGCAGCCCGCTCTGCCTGGGCTACCCGGTAAACTAGAGGAACCATGCAGTTCTAAAACCAAAACCCCAGGTATGGCATTTGGGTCGTAGGGTATACACAATAAACGTATGGACGTGCTAGAGAAGCAGTGTCAACACAGCAAGGATCGCCCAGCGCTCAGCCAACGCAGCGGCTTGCTTTCACGCAAACTCGATTTTGCCGATGCCCGACTCTTCATGTCATGCTGCTGCTGCTGCGTACTCCAAAAGATACGAATGTTCCTATCTAACGACATCAATAAAACACTCACAACACGTTAACCAGTGTTATCTCTCGATTGGTCTCTCCCAACCCAGCTCAATTTCCTTTCGTTTTCAATTTCGCACTTTCCTCGTTTTTCCCAGACAGACGAAGATCTCCTGTCTCTCAACGAAAACAGACGCCGCGCGTGAGCTACGACCCACACTCCTGCTCCAAAACGTGGTCGTTCCCGCTACTTCCAACCTAAGGGGTTCAATGACAGCAGGGTGTGTCCACATCCGAACATAATGTAGTCGTTGAGGCAAGCAATCCGCCGGTTCAACACTGCTATAGAACCCTTCAGGCCTTCGCCTTCTTCCCCCTCATCTTCTTTTGCTGCTTCCTGCTCTTCTTCTGCGGGGTTGTTGGCGCCGCAGCCTTGGGCGCCGCGGGGGCGGAGGCTGCTGCTGCTGCTGCTGCTGCTGCAGGCTTGCTCTCGCTAACTGGGGCCGCCGCCGCCGCAGGAGCCGGTGTCTTCTCAATGGGAGCCGCCGCCGCGGCCACTGCGGGAGCTGGTTCCTTCTGAGCAGGAGCCGACGGCGCAGAGGCCGGTTTCTTCTCAACGGGGGCCGCCGCCGCGGCCGCTACGGGAGCCGGTTCCTCCTTAGCAGGAGCCGCCGGCGCAGGGGCCGCTTTCTTCTCAATGGGAGCCGCCGCCGCCGCCGCTACGGGAGCCGGTTCCTCCTTAGCGGGGGCGGGGGCGGGGGCGGCCGCCACTGGCTCCGGTGCTTTCTTCTCGGGCTGACCCGGGTACACGTCATACGAACAGANGGGGGGGGGGGGGGGGGGGGGCGGCCGCCACTGGCTCCGGTGCTTTCTTCTCGGGCTGACCCGGGTACACGTCATACGAACAGACCGGGCAGTGGAGGGGGGGGGGTAGTCGGCATGGTGAGTCGCGGTTGAAGTCACGTGTTGTGAGACCTTATCAAAATCGCTGCATACGTACCATGACGAGAATCGCCTTCACCACAACGATGGAACGCCGGTCGGACATGGGGGGCGAACCCTTCCCTTCCGATTCCGGCCGCGCCGCGGACCATAATGGGTGGAGGGAAATAATAATCACCAGGTCTCGCCGGTATTCTGGGCTTGCTTCTCCAGAGCAGTGTGAAGTTTTGTTTGAAGTGCGACAAAAAGCTTATACGGCCGCCCCTAGCATTCCCTAGCATTGTGCTCTGTCACGGAGCCATGTAAAACGAGTGTGGTCCCTCTTACCATTCCCTCTAGCCCTTCCAATGCGGGTCCCGTTCTAATACGGTTCCCGTTCACCGCCGTTCGCGGCTCCTCATATGCCACCCATCCCTCTTTTCTATGCGCGTCTTTTTTCTCTCGCAGTATTTCGAGCTTTCTCGCCACTCTTCGAATACGCCAAGGTTGTTTCCTCTCGTACTATCATACTACGTGTTTCTTCCACGTTTTTCAAGACCCCAACACTAGTCCTCAAGTATTAAAAGGTAATCATTTCTCCGCGAGAAGCGAGGGCTCTTGCTCTCGGCGCGGTTTGCGGAACTCCCTTATCCTCTCTTGCTTTGTTTCCTTCTGGTGTTTCTTGGAATATTGTGTAATCGCGACTTGTTGGGCTTCCTGTTGAGTCTTCGAATGTCATAATTCCTACCTCATCTCGTGTAAGCTTGTCGCCGCGGAGATTGAGCTCCAACTTCAAGATAATATGGCAAGAGTATGCAAGAGAAAGTGCAGCATAGACGGAGGTCAAACTGTTGTTCGATCTCTTGTCGAATGATACCATCCCCCTTGCCACGATTCCACCGACTGGTGCTAGCCGACGGAAAGCGCAGCATGTTCAATACATACAAAAAGTGTTTTTGTTCTTGTCGTTTCGGAATCGTGTGGCTACCACCAAGAAAGGGAGAGCACCATCGCCGGGCGAGTAAACGGGTTCGATTTTGTAGGCAACACCAACGCGAGTTCGTCTTGTTGAGAAACTGTGAACTTCCCAAGAGGTAAGACTGTCAAGCGTAAGGAGGAGGGCATGGTAAAATCTCAACACCAAGGTTTGTGGGCACGACGGATGCGAGAAGGCTGATCAAGCAAGACAGTCAAGTGCAAAGTGGAGGGAATGGTGGATATGAATGCCAAGAATTGTGAGTGCGACGGTTGCGAAAAAGCTGATTGACATCATAATCAGCTTTCGCGCAACGGTCGTACTCACACAGCTTGGTGTTCAAATTTTGCCATGCTCTCCTATCTTCGACTGCTGTAGACGCAAATGTCGCGACGGTAAAATATCAAACAAAGGCAAGACTGCCAAGCGCAAGGAGGCGAATATGATCAATCCGAACACCAAGCCTTGTGAGTGCGACGGATGCGAGAAACCTTGATTACGACGGATGCGAGAAATCTTGATTTATTGATTTCTAGCATCCGTCGTACTCACAAGGCTTGGTGTTCAGATTGATCATATCCGCCTCCTTGCGCTTGGCAGTCTTGCCTTTGTTCGATATTACCATCGCGACCAATGCATCTACAGCAGTCAAGCTGTAGAGGTTGAGGGAGGGTTTACGCAGGCAAATGGCCACGAGTAAGAGCTAACTACAGAGTTTTGTGTATTCTTTGCCCCCTTCCCACGAAAAAGCTGAAGGCTACCATCCGCAGAGGCCGTTCGTCTCGCGTAACGCGAACGAACTCCGTTGGGACATAAACTTAAACCTGCAAGATGGGGCGCAGAGCGTACAGCAGTAGTATTCGATCACCAGCGGGCGAAGGCGTACCAGGAAAAGGGTGTGTGCAGCGAAAGTACCAGACGCTACCACTGCTGTAGGTACGAAGTAGAGGAAAGAGAGACTTTTCAGTGCCCGCAGTTTTCCTGTTGGTCAACACTGGCGCTGCCTGTAAAATTACTTCAAGTAGTTGTTACGACAGCAATTGTCTTCCAGTATATATAGGGTTCTGACTTCACCCGACATCTCCAAAGATCACGGACATTCATGTGGACAGAACTCGCCCACCAAAGTGCCATCATCGGAAGCAGGTTACATCCACGCATACAGTAGCAACACTTTCCAACGGGGCTATTTGTCGAAGGCTTGCTTGATCGCTCGAGAGCCACATAATATCTGCCACAACGACACGCGCCCTTGGGCGCTGGCTCTGCATGATTTTGTTGATGGAAGGCGACGCCGCCACAAATCGACGTGCTGATCTCCATGAGGACGCTCCGTTTCCTACTGCGGCACCACGGACTTGGAAAACCGTCCCGAACGAGGTATTGTGTACCACACAGCAGATTGATCACGATGAAGGCCCATCCCACACTCTAACCGCGCTTCTGCGGTGAAAGTGAACGTGTGGTCCATGCGTTGCATCTTGCCAATATTCTCACTTGTCCCCTAACCTAGATATAGTCTAGACAATCGAGATATGTTCACGACCTTGGTTCTACTGCAGGAGAGAAATGCATCCACCGGCATGCATGCTTCGCCCTTTACCCGTCAACACAGCACACGGAACCTTGTTTTAGCCACCTGTCGGTTGTTAAAGCACTTCGGTGGTTGAAGATAAACATGAACATGGGATACTGAGTGAGGCCGCCGCCTGGTGCCATACACCCACCAACGACTGCGTCCACTAATGAGCGAGCACCATCGCCGATCTGGGTGAGGAAAGCGCTAAACAGAACTCTAACGGATGGCAATTCGTGCGGAAAGTACGCTTCACGGCAGCTGCCGCTGTGCTGTCCAGAGATGCAGAGCTTTTTATACCAGGAGGTATATCGTAGATTACAGCAGGGTAACTGGTTTTCTACTCCTGTAGAGCCCGCCCTTCCTTCGAAATTCAACCAAAATCCGCCCAGCGCAATCAGAGGGAGGGCTATCTTTTCCCGTCTCGCCTCTTGAAAGTAAAAGGACCACGCCATTATTGTCTGCTGCTGTGTATACACAACGGCTGCTGGATGTATTGGTGGGGAGATTTGTATGCATGCACACGACAGCAGCAGAGAAAGGAGACAGCTTTCATCGAAGGTCAGCAAAAGTCTTCGGAAAAACGGCGTAAACGTAAATCGCGGTCCGCAGAGGGGAAAGTGCGCAGCAGCACAAGCAGGTCGAACACGAGGAGTTCTTCCCCTACCATACCTACCGCCATTACAGCGTAGCGCGTTCTCCATGGCGTGCCGCACGGCAGCAAGTGCAAACCAAAGGCACGATCCGTTGAAGTTCCAATTGAAGTTCCAATTTTTCAAAACATGTCGTGCACATCTACACAGCAGTGGCACTACTACCCACCTTCTTCGCAGCCGGAGGAGCGGCCACCGCAGCAGGAGCAGCCGACGCTCCCTCCTCACTCTCTTCCCCTCTCATAATGGCGATCTTCCTCAAGAGTTCGTCCACACCGCCGGACTCCAAGAGGGCTGCCCGGGCATCCTCGCGCTGCTGAAGAGCTTCGGCCGTCGGGCTCGCTCTTATCCTTGAGTCCAGACGGGCGACGGTCCCCCCCCGCCCCCCGAATGATGTCGCCGCGGGCACAACAACGAAGGCATTGTGGCCCCAGGGAAGGAGGGCCGCGGCGGCGAGGGAGAAGAGCGAAGTCATGGTTGTCTTCATGGCTTCAACGAACTGCGAGCATGCGTGTGGCTAGATGTGATGGAAGGATCGCCTCAAGATAAAAAATCGTAGATCGGATGCGGGGAAAAAGAAACGTAGATCGTAGATCGCACGCGGGTTCGTACAACTCACCGAGATCGATGGTTTCATGTTTGAATAATCTCCCGCTGTTTGCCCGCCGGAGGATGCATTGGTCAACCAGCAACGACGCGAGAGCAAGAGAGGAAGCGGGAGAAAAGGGGGGCCTGGAGATAGGTAGACCTAGTGACCGATTACCGAGTGCAAAGGAGTATCAGCGACGGTGCATGGGAAACGGGAGCGAGTGCGAGACACTCGTGTCAACCGAGGAGGGACACACCCCGACAGCAGGATCATGTCGTCGGGATCTCCGGCTTCGAGCGTAGCTCCCGGCAGTAGCATCGCTCCCAGCGTCGGGAACATCGATCCCACAGCGATACGGAAGAAGCGGACGATCGCTGTAGTTCGTAAGCGTGGGCACCGCCGCCCGCCCGGCTCTAGCGAAGAGGAAAATGGTGGTGTGCCACCAACGTCGCCAAAGAGGAAGACGCTCTTGGTTGCGCGCCGACCTCGAGCGAGTGAGGGACGGCTTTTTGAGCACGAGGCAGCGCCGCATCGCCATGCAGCTGCACCCGGTGCCATGCCCGGAGACCGGGTGGTCGGGGGAGGGGCGTGTGGTGACAGCGGCGGCCAGTTTCCTTCGTCGATGGTGGTTGGGAAGCTGCAGTGGCTCCCGGACGGACGCGTGCTCGACAAGAGCGTGCTCGGCACAGCCGAGGCCTTCGAAGAGGTGAGGACATCAATACGGGTGTATCCACGCGCTGCAAGTATGTATTTGACACCAACCACCTTGCGGGAAGTGCGTTTGAGTGACAGTTGTGCGAGTGCCGTGATAATTCATCTAGGCCGTGGGTTCACTTACAGGCATTCATATGAAGTGATTCTCAGGTGAGAATGGGTTACAGATCAACGTGCACAACCCACAGGCACATTCCATCGATTCTTTGGGGTTCTACCAACACCGTGCTACCCTACTGGTGTTGTTGCCCATTCGCACAGATGGACGCCCAGCTGGGGTGGGTAGATCGCCCAGGAGAGGAAGAGGAGGACTCCTTGCACCCGCTGCAGGGAACGGATTCGTCCGTGGGCTCGTCGCCTAGCCTGAGAAGTAAGCAGAGTTTTCGGAGCCTGAGAAGCAAGCAAAGTTGTCGGAGCCTGAAGAGCAGAGACCGCCAGTCCACCGGAGATCGGGGCTGGAACGGTCGAGGAAGGTTCGGTGAACATCCCCCTCCCCCAAAGAATTCAACATGATCGTGCTGCCACCGGCGTATCTCTGCTTCGTTCAGCCATATACAGGTGTCGTTGGAGCGAGCGTTCGTAGGGACTCAAACAGACCAACAACACGAACACATCGCTTGAAATGCTGTATTGAAGGCGTCGGTAATTGTGAAGTAAGCAACGTATTCATATAGCAAGGACAGACGAGTCACAGGATTGCCAACGAGTCGAGAGAGAACACAAACAATCTCTCGTGGTGTAAGTTTGATCGTACCTAGCATACCTCAATTCGTTTTTGGTCTCGTAGGGCCCAAGTGCCTTAGTAGTCGGCCCTGCTTCTCGTGCGCTCGGCTCTACCACCACCAACAACACCGCCCTCCCCCCTATGTTTCTTGTCTAACTTCACCCATCGTTGGCCTGTAAACAAAGCCGCCACCAGCATCACTGCGCTCAATGTATAGTCCGCCGTGCTGAATTAATGGAAACTCTGTCTGCTTGTCTACATGCTGCCGCCTAACAGTAATCCGGAGTTTCTTGTCGACTGTGCCCCGACTCTCGCCCCCCCGGCAGCCGCCCGGGGACATCTCCGGACGGTCAGTCGGCCCTGCAGAGAGAGATGGAGCATTACATGCGCCGCATCTCGGAGGCGGAGGACACCGCGATAAGGAACAGGGCGGTAACCGCGCGCAAGGTGAGTTGCGGTAGGCATTGTTGTTGCTGCACGTTCGTAGTTGGATGAAGCTACGCCGACCCTACTGAACCGACTGTTGCTCGTGGGTGCTCCGACGTACTTTATTCCATCAAGGCATCTTGGTATGTGAGTAGTTGCGCCCCCGCTAGTCTCTGCGATCCGTGACGTGGGCAACGAACAGAATTTTCTGACCGACCGATGCAACACATCCGAATTGGCTAAAGTCGGCCTTTCTACTGCTGTTTTCCTTGTATTCTCGTTACTGTTCCCCCCCATCAAGCCCCCTCCGGGATAGACTTTTTCCCGAAGACTCGTAGCACTTGCGTGGGTGCTTGATGAGTCGTCCTGCGGTGGAGGTTCGGTATCAGGCTAGAGGTTACAGATCTCCTTGGTTTGATCGAACGCACCGAGGCTTAGTGTTGTTTTTTTCTATCGCCGACAACGTCGGCTTGGGCTTGATTGGGCCTTTGTCATGGGTTTCGGGTCTTGGGGTCGAGGTCGTCTGCCGTTTTTCATGTGCAAATTCGCTGTCGTTCGGGCAGGAAGCTAAGTTGATGGATCATGTCGGCCTGACGGAGAAGTTGACTATGCAACGCGAGGGAAACTCGATGCGGCAGTGGAAGCGCAGGCAGCGCGATTGGGACCGCGTGAGCCGGCACATGGCTGCCATAACGGGCAAGGCAAGCAGCAGCAGATCTATACAGTAGTCGCTACATATCGGTTTCGGGCCCGACCATAGATCCACCCCCATATCACACGAAGAATGCAACGTCGCCCCTGCAAGAACGCACGGATAACCCATTTCTGTCAAATTCGGGCTGGTGGGGAGAGTGAGGGGTTGGCACCGACATTTTAGGGAGCAGTACATGCGCTTTGTTGGACATGTTCTTTTCATGGGGCGTATCTTGCAACGCCGACTGGAAATAGCCCCTGCGCGGTGTGCTTGTTAACTGCTAGGCGCCGGAAGACTTGGTGATGTCGACGGCGGACGAGTATCGCGAGAGAAGCGAGGAGTACCAGCTCATACAATCCGCAATCCCGACTTACGAAAAGTTCAGCAGCGACGGGTGAGAGAAGAAACAGCATGGAACACTAGTCGCGGTAGGCCACACACCAAACGCTGAATCGAGCCAGACGTGGACCGCGACGACGCCCATTGAGCGTTGGCATGTTTCCTATTTGGAGGTCATTGCTGAGGGACAAGGGATGGGTTGATAAGGGCCAACGGCTTCGACAACCGAAGCGCTGCCGTGAACATCAGCGACAACGAGACGGTGATGAGCTTGGCGCCGCCGAAGACATCGAAGTGCAGCAGCTCTTTGGAGACCTGGACAACGGCAACAGCGGTCTTCATGCGTGGACGTCGCTCACGTTGAAAGCGCCGTTGTCATTGTCTCAGTCTCCGTAGAGCTGTTGCTCCTCGTTGCCTTCGGTGGCGCCGAGTTCATCACCGTCTCCACATATTCGGCAGTGTCGACCCGAGAAGCGCTTTGCCAGGAGAGCACTCCAGTGACCACCCACACGCCACTTGGTTGAGACTAAGCCAAGATCGAAGCGTTGGTACCGAAACCACGCTGCAATTGGCGTTTTTTGGGAAACTTTCCGCCGACAACATTATTGGAAAACGGCTGCACGGCCCTCTATTTACCGTTCGCTTCACCAGCAACAGCCTGTCTCTCTTGCTTTCTAGGTGGGGATATGTTTTCAGAGACATAGGATGGCCCTTCTCAGTCACACATTAAACAAGAAGGAACACCCACGAACGAGGAAACGTCAACCAAGCCTCGTGGACCTACTGTTCTCTCCCCTTCATAGAATACACCGGATCCGCAGAGACCAGTACGGAACTTGTCGGGCACTCGTGAGCCTCGAAGAGAGACTGTAACCCCAGCATTGTCTTACCACATCCCCCCTCCTTTTCACCCACGAAGGTACTGGATGATGTCGCTGAGGGGGTTCGGGGAGCACAGTTGCAACGTCGGCAACATCTTCAGCGGGCTCACGTGCGGCATTAACGACCAGACGGCACCGCCTCGCGCCGTCCGGAAGCCCACGGGCCGCCCCGCGGACGCGACGCGCAAGCGATCCTGGCGCAATAGCGAGGCCCTGGCCACCCGGAAGAGGGAGCTCGCGCCTGTCCTCAGGAGCCTGCGGCCACAGCAGTTCCAGCCCGATGAGACCGGCGGTGAGGCCGAGAGGGGGGGAGGGAGGGAGGGAGAGAGAACCCGACAGAGAGATGACGAGAACGTGAAGAAGGAAGGGGAGGATGAGAAGAAAAAGCAAGAAAAATTTGGGTTGGGGGTTAGGAGGGAGGTTCAGCAAGCGAGCGGGAGAGTGAAACCGACAGAGGGATGGGGGAACACGTGGGGGGGCAGGGGGAGGATGAGAAGAGAAAAAAAGAAATATTGGGGAGATCGTTCTTGTTGAGCCAATCCAAATGCCAGCTCGCTTGGGCATCTCCCAGTCTCGGGGTTGCCTGCCTGCCCCCCACGCGTTCCTGTTGTACGGATGCCCCTGACTGCCGATTTGGGTTTTGGTGCAGGGCTACTCGTGCAAGGGGAGGATCTGTTGGAATGGGCCGCACAGTCCAGCCGGGAGTATTTCCAGCTGCGCCACCTACAGGAGTCAGAGGTGTGGGTTTGTATGGTGTGTTGCATTTCTTCAAGTAGCATCGACCGCGCCACCCGCTAGTCGATGAAAATAGGCCAGTCTCAGCTGGATATATTTTAAACCCTCAAGCCGCGGACTTCCCTGACGGCAGGGCGATGGGGGAACTGTCTCCGTCTTTCGTTTTTTTGGCCATCGGCCTCGTCAACCGTTGGCCAACGAAACGGCGTCAGCCTTCGACGGATTGCAAGAAATTGAACGCGTCCTAGTCTGTCTTGATTTGATGTTCGATGTGCTCGCGGTCGTTCTTGATACATAGGTCCCTCAAGTTGGGGATCCCTCATCGGCCTTGAAGGTAGAAGCCAACCACGAGCCCTATCAAGACCGTTCCCACCGCCGGTGCTTCCTGAGCTCTGACGGAGGCTTTCGGCCCGCTTGTCCCTTTTTTCCTCAAAAAAACTCTGTCATCTTGTCGTCGCACGTTCCGGGGGGCGATAGGCCGTGGTTACCGGCATGAACTCGCTTGAGGGGGAATGCCACGGCACCGAGGCGGTAGAACACCAGCTGCTGCCGCTGGGAGCGACGAACGGCGAGCACGCCGACGCGGGGTCGGTCTCGAGGTCTTCCCCTCGACCGGGGCCGGCGATGGAGGCAAGGCAGCGTTCCGTGTTACCTTGCCTCTGCATCTCTGGCCCTCCGATCCTCTGCATCCTCGACGATTTCCCGCGGTGATGAAAGTTCGCTAGTCACTCTTCTGCTATCCTAGCCAACCGGTATCCCTCTTTTCCGTTCTAGGGATACCCTCTCGCCTCACATGCATGGTAGTTTGTTGCTTTCGCCCGCTCCTGCCCCCGCCAACCGCTGTCGCGTCCGTTGGCCCCCCCCCCCCCCCC